CCTTGCAATACTGTCCCGTGAAACTCAGGCTTCATTGGTAAATTGTTTTAAGCTCTATGTGATCTGTCAAACTGAATAGTGCTCAAGTACTCTCGCACTTGAATGGAATCCCAATGTACAACTATCGTTTGTTTTGTGTCATTGTAAGATAATAGTTGATTGTTTCACCTTCATTGTAATCTCACGACACCTATAACAATTCCCTTCCTTCACAGGCTGCCTTGTGCAGCACAGATCCTGTGATAGCTTCACACCCTTCAGTTAAACCTACTCTCCACTACTGCAGGCCGTCTGCTTCACAAGATCAATCATGGATGGAGTCCGTCCGCTATATTAAATTGTGGAATAGTTTAGGGTTGAATATGTTTCTTTGAAAAATCTTTTTCAGGAAGTCTGCATGTCTGTCATAACATTGTGTTTCCTAATTATTTAGTAGTGATTAAATTTGAGCAAAAACTATAGTTCTTGTTATAACCCTTTTGTTAAAATCTTCAGATTGACAGTGTATATAAATGTTCAGGAGAAAAATTCAAATCAAAAGGTCCTCCTGTTGTAACAACCAAAAATAATATGGGTATCATAGAGTTGGCTGTGTTCAATCAAGTTATCCACTCACTCACTGACTTACCAACCAAACCAGCCAGTCTGTCATACAAAACATGAAGCAAACATATCCAAGAGAGCCCAAGCAAGTCCATAATATGTGGCAAATCTAGACTACGGCAGTTTCAAGAAAATATAGAAAGTCTCTTGGCTCATTTTTATTTTATGTTATTAAGTTCATTTTAGAACTGTTTCTCTGTAAAATAGGGCGGTGGGGTAGCCTAGTGGTTAAAGCGTTCACTTGTCATGTCAAAGGCTCACATGTGAAGCCCATTTCTGGTGTCCCCTGCTGTGATATTGCTGGAATATTGCTAAAAGCCACATAAATCTAAACTCACTCATTCACTCTCTGTAAAATATGTTCATTTCAGAGACTAGATGTTAGTCTAACACCCACCTACCTGGTATAAATGGAAATGGATTTTTCAGCTTTTCATTTTTGACTAAATATTCACTTCCTGCAGAGCCAATTTAATTCCATTATAAACTTTTCATCTCGGTATAATATGTCCAGTGAGTTTTGTGAAACGAAAGTGAAATCTGTTTTTTAATGCAATTTTCGATGGAATATCTCAGGAACACAAATGTAATGACGATTTGCCTCAAGGAAACTGCTCAAAGTGGACAAACCCAACTCTCTCAATGACTCACTTCCTATATCAAATCAAACTTGACTTTCAAATCCCAAGAAATATGGGAGATGTCGATAGCTTCAATTCCTGCCTGCATTTTTAATTTGTTTACAAGTAATGTTACAAATCATTACCAATAATTACAAATACTAAAGTTTAACATTCCATTTAAAAAAAGTAAGCATTGTCCCAAACCTAAATCCCAACATGATCTGGTTAAAGTGACCTTTATGATCTATATAATCTGTTTAACAGCATAAAGAACCAATAAAATAAAGCATCTAAATTAATGTTCACAACAAAGGTTCTGTAAGGATGATTTTATAGTGAGAAAAAATTGCATGTTATTAAGCTTTGAACTGACAAGGGCAAGATGACCAGAAGAGAATGGGAGGGGTTTGGGAAGCAGATATATTCAAACTGTCTCCTGACTTCGGCGACTGTTGTGTAGAAGTTATATGGATGCATTCTTTAAGAAAAAGAATGTGATTCATTAGATGGTATGTGATCTGTCAATTTCCTAAAAGACTTTTTTATATTGTTTAAATTCCGCTGTAGCGTGCCGACAATGACTTGGTGTTAGAGTAAGCACTTCCCTGCATCAAATATTGTATGAAATCCCTCTGTAGAGTTTGAAAATACACTGGGATCATGTTGGATAAATGTGTCTTGCTTCAGACCAACAAATGTGTCAATTATTGGGCAAAAAGCATGTTCACTTGAATTGCACTTTGGTATTGATCAAGCCCAAGTAGGCTGCTTACATGTTTGTGGTTTGGGGGGAATGCACTTGGGAGGTTGCTCGACTTCAAAAGGTTTTTCTAGAGATTCAGAAATCATTACTCGCCAAAATTGAAGAAAAACTTCTGGTCTAATTATAAAAAGTTGGCTGTGGTCGTCTTTCACTGGGCTTACAACTACCAGCAAAAGTGTCTTTTAAGGCGGAGATGGTTTGTGATTCACTGCGAGGATGTAACAACATTGTTATTGATAACACTCATCTTCCTCTCTTGTCACATGATCATGTCAGGCGCTGCTACTATAACTTATTTGGCACCAGAAATGGTTCATTGATGTGTAGTTCTCTTATTGTATTGATTATGTAGGGATTACTGCAATGATTCATCGTATATTGTATGAGGGAATGAGGGCCATGTACTATTTTTTTCACATTCATTGTGATTCATTCTTCAGAAATTTATAAGGGGCGGTGAGGTAGCCTAGTGGTTAAAGCATTCGCTTGTCACCCAGAAGATCCCAGTTTGATTCCACACATGGTGGCAATGTGTAAAACCACTCCTTATGTCCTCAGCTGCAATATTGACCGGATATTGCTAAAAGTGGCATAAGACCTCACTCACTCTGTAAAGTTTGTGCTCACTCATAAGCAAAGGACCTTTGACTGGAGATGACTTGTTTGGTCATTAGCAAATATTGAGTGCACAATGAAACTGACATTTTGTAATGAGTGAGTGAGTGAGTTGGGTGTTATGCCGCTGTTAGCAGTGTTCCAGCATTATCATGATGGGTAACAAAACAAATGGTCTTTACAATATACCCATGTGAGGAATCGAACCAAGGTCTTCGGCATGACAAGTGAATGCTTTAACCACTAGACTTCTCCTCTCACTCACTCACTCACACGTTGTACAGACACAGTATTCACTCACCAACGTCTCACTTTACGTGTGTTTATTTTTCTAAATCCAGCATTAGAAATGTCAGAAATGCAATTTCTCCAAACCTTTAAGACACCTTCCAATATTTTATATTTTTTAACCAAGCAGTTATGTGCGACATGTGGCCAATGTCATCTTGTTGGTGATGTAACTGGGATGTCTGCTGTAGTTCCAGACTATCTTGGCATGAAACGTAGTGTTTGTTTTCTACTTTCTGAGGTTGTGGGTCGTCGATGACGGCAATACCGCAGCAAGGAACTGTGGCTCACGGCCACTGGGAATGGTAAACAATGGTGTGTACATGTTGCAACTTTGTCGTAACTCGGAGTCAGTTAATCTCCTGCTGCCCATGAGCCAACACTGTGACAGTCGTCCCCAACACAGGCTCTACACACCACTGGCCGAGATGCACACACAATCCATGATTCATAACAAATGGATTTCTCCGCTGTGCGTTTTTGACAGAAATTATTATATTCATTTCCTCCTGAGTTGATTTGACTCCATTACAAACTCTTCATCTCGATATGAAATGTTCTTTGAGTTTATGAAATGAGAGTGAAATCTGTTTTAGAAATGCATTTGATGGAATATCTCTTGAACTCAAATGGGATGAAGATGTGTTCTGTTCCTCAAGGATTCTCATCGTGCTTCTGGACACAGACCTGCTGTGTTCTGTAGACCAGTTATTACATTCCACCTGTGCTGTATCATCTGGTCTGGTCATAATTTCCTGACCGGGCTTGTCCAGCGGTGGATATCTTGTTTTAATTACCTCCTGCGCTGTGAAGATAACACAGACAAAGCTTCTGCAAGTTTCATGTTCACACAAAAAACAAAGGCAATAGGGTTTTTTCGACTGTTGGGATTAAGTTTCCGCCAGTCCTATGATTGCCTGGTGATTGATTTCCAGACAGTGATTTGCAGACAATGCAGAGTCTCTGGACCATATACCTTTGGTCAGCCTGGACTTTCGTGGTCAAAACATAGCATATCACAGGTGGCTTTGCCTCTTTTAGTATGAGGGCAGGTGAGATCTTTTGTGTGTGTGTTTTTTCAAAATAACATGGTTTGTGTTTAAACCAAAAGAGTATGTTTTATAATATTTTCAGTGAATTTTAATTGTGATCTATTAATAAGGTGGTTAGTGTACAAGACATATATTCTAAAACAAAATAAGGAGCAAATATACTACTCAAAATAAGTCAAGGAGCATCAGATTCTTTCATGTTACTATATGCCATGACACATTAACTGAGGACCCAGAGCAATCCTTTTCTTATTTTGTGTTGTATGCACCAGCAAACTGAACTATTAGTTCAGTTTCACTTTAACAATTATTTTAATGACCACACGTCATGCGGGTAACTTCTGTATGAAGGTGGAAGTTTTTAACGCTCATATTGATTATTTTAATGACTTTGTACTCCCATTTGGTGCAAGCATAAGTTTCATGTGTTTTGATCATTGGCTTTGTTTGTTGAGTGGGTCTGTTTGTGAGGAAGACGAGCGAGTTTAGATAAACGTAATTCATTGATCGACCTGAGTCCACAGGTCATGTCATCATCAGTGATGGCTTTTTCCTTGCTTGAGGAACGGCTGGTCCAAAGTACCTGTCGCACTTGGTAGCGGATATCCTATAAATCTGGATGTCTTGGATGCTAATGGATTAAGGAATCATTTTGTGTCTTCGGGATACTAGTGTGAAATGTTAGACATGGTTTCATTGGTGGGAACTTTTAGAAAGAATTGAAGTGAAGTTGTTTTTTTCACTGACAACAAATTCTGATTGATTCTGTGGAGGTGAGACTTTGATGTTTCTGACCCAAGGATGAATGGTGCACTTTCAGTTCAGTTATTGAGACAGAACAAATATCTTAAAGAATTAAGATTAAACAAAATTCTTATGTTCTTATCAAAATCATTTCATTTGAATTCAGCAAAACTTTGAATACAGTTTCCCTAAATACATATTAAAGGAATCAGTAAGTACTAAGAACTAGCAGGTTTTGTTACTGATGAAGCTATTTTCATCCCGACCTTTGTCTTGGTGTACAATCATTAACCCCACTTTTCCCCTCCTCAGGGCGAAGAGCTCAACTACGACGAGGACGTGAAAGTGCAGCAGCAGCGGCACAGAGTAGATCAGCAATGGTAAGTGTTTCTGTATTTTCTCACTTGTAGCATGACAGACAGTATACTCGGGTTATTGCTGGAATATTGCTAAAAGTGGCGTAAAAGTTAAACTCACTCACTCAGATGAAATGATTTTTTCAAAACAAGACAATAGTAATCCTACGTCAAACATTGGTTCTGTATCAGACTTCATTTAAAAAATCAGCTCTGATCATTTCAGTGATCCATTCATGTAATATTACTGCTATTTTGCCGTCTGCTCCCAACGGAATCTGTTATCTTGACTCGTTGACATCTGTGAATGACTTTTAATATTTTATTTGAACAGAACATTTTAGTGTGCAGTTAGCTCTTCCTTCGAGAAGAAAGGAATTGATGTATAACACTATTCAGTAGTTACTATAGAAGGGAACGTTATCAACCAGACAGTTATCTCAACCAAGACAATTATTTATAGGCTCTTCTCGAATATCACTTCTCACATTAAAGCTGGTTGAAATTGATTTGAGGACATACAATTATAGAGACTAGACATATCAATTGGGAAATATCATCTGTTCTCAAATAGATCACAGAGGCTATGATCATGACATTTCATGATTTCCATTTTGGAGAAAGAAAATATGGTAATAAGTAGCCATAGGAACCGTTTACAAACTGCTTCTTCTGAACCCCACCCTTGTACCATGCTGTGCCGTACCAAGGTGTACAAGGGGTGGAAATAACCCATTGCCCGACGTCTGAGACTAGTGTTTTTTTCTGTCGGGCAAGCAAATTTGTATTTCACACTGTACCGGTGTCCAGTTGACTTTCCAATGTTAATTATGTTTTTTATTTTAAAAAATCAACAAGAAAACGTCCGGTATAGTGGAAAAATTATCAGGGCAAGTGATTTTACATGTGCCACTGTTCCGGAGTACACTAGCAATATTAAAATTATTTCCACCCCTGGGTACAACGGTGTACTTTGCTGTAGCATGCTGTACCAAGGTGTACCATGATGTACTACATTGTAGCATGTTGTACCAAGGTGTACCATGATGTACTATATTGCAGCATGCTGTACCAAGGTGTACCATGATGTACCATGTAGTGTTGTTGTCAGTTTAGCTGGGTTTAGTTCCTGAGATGGATGCTTCTTAAAAAGCCTAATCATAGTCTCTGTTGCAATGCAAGAGTCATATTGATGTCTGGACATTATTCACTGTTATTCCCAGTCAGCTGTGCGAATATGAAATGATCGTCCTGCCTAGTATATCAACATTAATTGCTGAAGTTTACTGCCTTCTCTTCTGTCATTATTATTCTTTTTGTGCACGGAGCACAGTTCACTTATTCAAACTACCACTCACCCATTTATGCGAGGTATAGGATCACTCTCACTCACTCACTCACTCACTTTCTTGTGTGAGGCATAGTTGCTCATTCACTTACTTGCTTACCCTCCAACCCATTTTGGTAATTTATTTGATAGCAGAACATGCATTCAGTTATCCATTCACTCACTCAACAACAAATTAATTTTTTTCTTTACATTTTTGTTCGAAATGTAATATTTTATCCAGTACACTCTTTGTAAAACAGAACATGGGATCTGAGATTTCAGTGGCTGTTATGGAAGTAGTTTCCACATATCTTCATGTGTCCGGGGTAGAGAGTTTCGTGTATCATTCCATCTTAACCTCAAGCTACCAACCCTACACAGGTAACGTTTGTAGCGAACACCTGTACCCCTAGCTCCGTGAATCACCTGTACCCTAGTTCCGTGAATCACCTGTCATTCCCCACAGCCCAGTGTAAACTGTCAATCAAGGCCCACAAGGAATGTGGAGCTATCAAAACATTATACTACCGCTATCACTGTGGTCGAGATGGGTGAAACTGGCAGTTATTGATAGACTGGGGACTGGATTAAAGGTTGTTTTATGGCCTGATCAGATGAGATAGAGCCCTGCTGAAGAGCTTGTCACAACCCTGGAGTGCATCTTTGTCTACAGTGTATAGAGCTCAATAGGGGGCCAACTCCCTGCAGTGAACATTGACATGTTGACTTTAGATTGACTTGATTCACGTCATTCAGTGTCACTATCTTCATGTTGTGGATACTGGCTGACAAGCTCAAGTAGGGAGTAATAGCTCCACCTTTCAACCAGGTACATTCTTGGGCAAAAAATTGCAATTTGATTACAGGTAGGAATTGTTGAAAGTGTTTCTGTTGTAGGGGTGAGCATGGCAGCATGGAATTAGTCTGTCGACATTTCAATATATGCTGACAGCCGAAACTGGTTTTGGGAATTTGTTAGAACTGTCTGGAAAAAAACTGCTTAAAAAGTGTCTCATCTTCCAATGAAATTACTCATCTTCCTAAGTCTTTATGGATATCTCAAAAGTGTTATCCATTAGCAGCTAAACAATCTGTTTACAGAAACAGTTCATCTGAATCTGAAATGGAAAATATTGAAAGTATTAAACATTGCTGTTTCAGTCTTTATACTGTGGTTTAAAATGACTGATTGCTTTAAAGAATATTTGACCTCACGAAGCTAAAGTGTTCATGTACACTCGTGAAACATCATGGTTCGGATTTTGTTCATACTACAGTAAGCTACAATTATAATAGACTCAAAGGGACCACTGTTTATAGTTGTTTTAACTGTAGTTCATTGTGTGCATTTCCTCTAAAATAAGTGGCTGGGATCAGTAATACATTTCATTCGACCTATCAGAATTTTCATTATAATTTTTTTTTTTTTCTTTGCCCCATCTGAAAGAACAAACTTACAACAGAAATTTATTTTAACAAATAGAAAATTAATCTGACTTATGAAGTGTACTGTAGATCAGGGCCCTGTCCTCCTCCTGTCACCTGAGAAGGGGAAGTTGTGATATAAAACCCAACACCTGTTTGTAGAGGAAACACCCACCCCTTCCACTGCAGGCTCCAGGTCATACTGGCTTATCTGCCCTTGGCATCAATACAATAGACTCATCAGCAGGTCCTGATGGCAGATAGAACCTGATGTTGGGACTGGGTGGCCAGTTACTTGCTGGGGACCCCATCACAGGGTCATTGTGTGGCTGTTGTTTTGACATGCAGCTGACTTCTGATGTCCAGATATGACATCCCACAGACTTCTGATGTCCAGATATGACATCCTATGGGCTACTGATGTCTTGATATGGTGTCTCACATTTACTACTTCCTCGAATTTGAATGGAACAATGCCTGAAACCATAGATTCCAACAGTTTGAGCCTTGTTGTCATTTCCTCAGGTCCACTATTACAGAAACACTCTTGAAAAGGACTTTAAGGATGGTAGGACAATAGAAAAGTAGATAGATGGAGATTTATTAGATCCTACCTACTTTCCAATCACTGTTACATTGACACAACAGGCAGGTGTATACAATGTCTGTTGTACTTAAACAGCTATAACTAGGTACGTGACTACATGAAGTAGATGTAATGTTGTACTGGCCCAGCAGGTAAATGTGCTATCTTGGCAGGGATGACCCGTAACCCAGCCAGGGCGGCCATTTGATGGTGAATCCAGCTGGGCCACCAGAAACAGCATCACGAAGGCCATCTTCCATAATTCCCCATGGGTACAGTGTGTGAGGTATGTTCTTAGTGTCCCAGCTGGGGATGGGGCTGGAATTTTGCTAGAAGCGACATTACCCTTACCTGCCCACATCTCCATCCCCCACATCTCCATCCCCTTTCTATGACATTACAATCACAATACTAGTCCCATGAAGAGTGAGTGAGTTAGTTTTACACTGCTTTTAGCAATATCACAGCAGGGACACCAGATATGGGCTTCACACACTGTACCCATGTCGGGAATCGAACCCAGGCCTACGAGTGGACGCTGCAACCACGAGGCTACCCCCATCACCCAACCCATGTACCCATGTAGATATCGTGTTAACCTCGTGTATTGATTAGTTCAGTCATCACAAGGAGATTGATAACCTCTACATTCTGTTACATGCTTGGGTAAGAACTCAGGTGTTAAGAATGTATCATGTTGCCTGTTCTGGCAAAGATAACTGTGTCAGTGGCACCTACCTGCTATTTCTGCTGGACACAAGCCAAAGGACCAGCAGTCACATGGCCCCCTGCTGTGCAACGTGTTGACCAATGTCATGGATTGTGTTGCACTGTGGAGCGTAAACATTGCAAATCAGTTAAAAATGTAAGAGAAATTAAAAACTGAAAAAAGAAAATGTGTTTTAATCAGCAGCCTTCATAAGAAGTATGTTTACTCTGAAAATTATAAACAGGGAATTGTTTACATCATGAAAGCCAATTATAAACACTCTTGGCTACATTAGTTTTATAGTATGAATATACTGGTCTGATGTACAATGACTAATGGTGTTTGACTACAGCTGCTTGGGTATGAAACAAATATCCTCAGTGATTCATCACGTTTGGGCAAGTTGATAGGGCAATCACATTAAAAAGTGAGATTTGTGAAGTAGTTGTCCGTGGACAAGCTGAAATTTGCTTGGAATTCATGTGCAGGAGAATGTCCACAGTTACAGCTTGGTGAGATGGAGGTTGTTGCATTCGGTCAATACCATGTCCACACTCCCTGTCTTACACCAACTCTAGCACAACACTGTTGTTTCAAAAACAAATTTTACTGATCTTAAGTAGATAATTACACAACTCATTCTCCTCACTTGGGAGTAAACCTAATAGTTGAGATGTGAAAAAGTCATATAGTTTTTTCTGAAAACTCTTTCCAAACTTTAATTTGTTGAGTTTAGATAATTGATGTTGATTTGTTTTGCAGTTTGAGATGAAAGGACTTCAGAAAAGAAAGTAAAGTCATGAGGGAAACGTTACATTAGAAGTTAAATTACATTTCAAACAGAGAGTAATTGCAAATGGATATAATGTCTTGTCTTTAAAAACTTGTCCAATCAATTTTTAACAGTGTTCCTCTGATGCATTGTGGGTGTATGTATCAAGCCGAGCATTCTTTGAGGTGTCTTGTCACGAGAA